CCCCCGCAGGAGTGTGACCGGAGGGACCCCCGCCAGAGTCCCGAGTGCCACCGGATCCCGGCGCCATGGTGACCGAGCAGGAGGTGGAGGCCATCGGCCGGACGCTGGTGGACACGGCCCAGCCCCTGCCCGCCCGGTTCCGGGCCCTCTTCACCCTGCGGAGTCTGGGCGGCCGCACCGCCGTGGACTGGATCAGCCGGGCCTTCGGGGACGGCTCTGCGCTGCTGAAGCATGAGCTGGCCTACTGCCTGGGCCAGATGCAGGACGAAGCGGCCATCCCCGTGCTCATCCGGGTGCTGGAGGACACCGGCCAGGAGCCCATGGTCAGGCACGAGGCGGGTATGACGGCAGCTCCTGTGGCTGTGGGGGCAAGGGAAGGGTCCAGCCCACAAGTGGGACTTGCAGGTGCTTCCCCCCCATACCAAATGGCTGGTTACGGCCTGATCCTGCTTGGGTGTCATGGCTTGGAAATTCCTGAGGCGTGTAACCACCTCACCGCATCCCCTGGCCGGCCCTGGCTGGACTGGTTGGCCAAACCTTCCCCTTCCTGCTGGCCAGGCTTGCTCCTGCCGTGTTTATTTGCCTGGCTGTCTCATTTAGGATCCGTCAGTCAGGCTTGTGTCCCCACTCCAGAGTGGGGCGAGGCTTTGCCGGAGGACACAGCAGGGTCCTCCTCCTCATGTAGGCACCTTGATAACATCCTGACACCTCCTTCCTTCAGGTGAAGCCCTGGGTGCTATCGGGAATCCCAAGGTGCTGGACATCCTGAAACGCTATTCAGAGGATCCCGTGGTTGAGGTGAGGCTCTTGGGGGAGTCATTTCCCCTGGGGTGCAGCTCTGCTGGTCCAGGAGGGTGAGGCAGGGACAGGGACACCATGAGCGGCATCTTGCTGTGTGTTGGCACCCAGCCGCTGCCGGGAAGCCCTGGGCACCTTCCCAGCGCCATATAGTGCTGTCCCTCAGCCAAGGCTGTGTCCCCGTCCCTGCAGGTGGCGGAGACGTGTCAGCTGGCAGTGAGGAGGCTGGAGTGGCTGCAGGAGAACAAGCAGGAGCCGGGCGCCAGCCCCTACCTCTCCGTGGATCCTGCTCCCCCTGCTGAGGAGACGGATGTCGCCAAACTCCGCGAAACCCTCCTGGATGAGTCACGCACGCTGTTCGACCGCTACAGGGCCATGTTTGCCCTGCGAAACCTGGGGGGCCAGGCTGCTGTGCTGGCGCTGGCAGATGGTAAGGGCCAGTGTGAGGCTGCCTGTAGTCTCCTCTCACTGTAAATCTGCACAGGTTAATCTGGGATTGGCCCTTCCCAAATCCAGGGCTGCCAGAGCTGCAGGGCTTCACTTAAGCTCGTCACACATTTGTTTCTGGAGCTGCTGTCCCCCTGCTTGCTTGCAAGAGCCACTTTGCAAAGCGCTCTGTCACTCTCTGGTGTTTCACAGCCCCCTCACCATTCTCCAGGCCCCCTTTCTCCATGGGTTTGGGTGGGAGAGGACACAGTCTGTAATGTTGGCTTGGGACCAACCAGTCTGACCTGGTGTCTCTGGGTGGGACCTGGCCCCAGGGTGTCAGGGTCCTGCTGTCCCGTCCTGGAAAGTCAGAGGCTGCTAACCTTGTCCTGGGGTTTGGGAATAGCTCTGGAGAGGGGAGTGAATGACTCCTGAGTGGGGAAGGGGCAGACCGTAGCCCAGGAACCATTTGGACCCAGCCCAAGGGAAGTGGACGAGGCTCTCCAGCCATCTGGGACGAGCCGAGGGAATTTCTGCACTGTGAGAGAAGGTGTGCGGGGATCTGTGAGCTCCCGCTACGGCTGTTCAGTCCCGCAGCACGGGAGGGCTTGAGTCTGTGGCTGTGCTGCCAGTCTGCCCCAGGCAGATCGTGCCGGTGGGGCAGGGCCCGTGGGCGGCGCAGGCTACCCGGGGTAGGTGAGGGTGCCCGCAGCTCTGCTGGGGGGGCGGGTGCCACCGTCACAAGATGGCCTCCCTACGCCGCTGGGGCATGGCTGCGGGCCTGCAGTGCCGGGGCTGCCCCGGCTGTGCAGGGTCAGGGAACGGGGTGGGTCAGCCTTTCCTGTAGGTGTTTTGTCCCGTTCCCCAGAAGCCCCAACAGGTCTGGGGAGACGACCGCTGGCTCTAACCCCCAGACCAACCTGCCCCATGTCTTCTCCCAGCTTTTGGTGGGGGGCACCGGCCAAGCATCCCAGTGCACTTTGGGGGCCATGATGGCTCACTCTCGCCTCTTCCCCGCAGGACTGCATTCCGGCAGCGCCCTCTTCCGCCATGAGATTGGCTACGTGCTGGGCCAGATGCAGGATGAGGCCTGCGTCCCGCAGCTGACGGCCACGCTGCGCAGCCGCACCGAGAGCCCCATGGTGCGCCACGAGTGCGCCGAGGCCCTGGGCTCCATCGCCCGCCCCTCCTGCCTGGAGACCCTGCGTGCCTTCGCCCACGACGAGGAGCGGGTGGTGCGGGAGAGCTGCGAGGTGGCGCTGGACATGTACGAGTACGAGAACGGCACCCAGTTCCAGTACGCCGACGGGCTCTGCAAGCTGCAGGCCTCCGCCTGAGCCCCGGCTGAGGGGGGGGCACAGGCCCCGCTGTCATGGCCGCCTCCGTCGACATGGATCCCTGCCTTGCCGCGGCGGAGGTGGAGGAGGAACTGGATTTGCTTTCTGGCACAATTACAGCTGCCTTCTCCCTCCAGATCCAGGCTGAGCTGCTACTTGTCCCCCTCCCTCTCGCCACCCCCCATTTCCTGGATCTGCCCCTTTTTCCCTGCCAGGATCAGCACTGCCTGCCCGCAGCCTGGCTCAGGGCTCGGACCGGGTGGGCTCCGCTCTGCACGTCGGAGCCTGTCGCGGCTGTGCGGGGCCTGGGGCTGCTCTGGGCTTGTGCTGCCGTGGCGGCTCGGTGTGAAACAGCTCCACTTTCCCTGCCTGAGCTTTGCTGGGGGGGGCAGGGCTGGCTTTGGGCACTCGCTCTCGTAGGTTGTAGCAGTGTGATGCCTCGAAATAGCCCTTGGTGCTGGTGCCGAGCCGGGTCCCTCCTTGCATCTGTGGCGGAGGAGCTGCTGTGGGTTTGGCCTCTCCTGTCGGGGCAGGCCAGAGCTGTGCTTGCGGCAGCTTTTTCCCTGGGATGGGGGTTGTTTCATGGCAAGGTTTGGAAGATTTGGCTGCGCTTTTTCTTTCTGCAGGGAGCGGCGGTGCTGCCATTAGGGCTTACAGGGTGAGGCAGAGCCTGCCCGGACTTTCCCCCGTGTTTAACCAGACCTGGGAGGGCTGAGGCTGGTGTCTGCTGCCGTCACCCAGCACCCAAACCCCTTGGGCAGCCCAGTGTGGGCACGGGGAGGGGCTGGCAGGGAATAAAGCGCTGGCAGGGGGAGCTCCCGCATGAGTCGAGCTGTGATTTAGCCCTTGCCCAGATGTGGGGTGCACCCAACACCGCAGGGTCGGGCCCCAGTGGGGAGCCCCGGGGCTGCCATAATAGAATCATGGAACAGAGTCATTTAGGTTGGAAAAGACCTTTAAGTTCGAGTCTAACCGTAATGGGAGGAGAGAACATGGGGTGGGGTTCCTGATGGCATGGGGTAAACGCCCCCTCCCCACAGCCCTGTCAGGCCTGGGGAGGAGGGCAGACATTGCCCGTGGAGCTCCCCAGAGCCCCCACGGTGCTGCCCAGCAGAGGGGCTGGTGGGGTCCCGCTGCCCTGCAGGGACTGGTGTGCTGCTGACGGTGCTTTTCCCCTTGACCGAAGTCTCCCTGTGAGTCGCTCCTGGGCTCAATCCTCTTAGTCCCTAAAGCCACTGCTGCGGCCAGCTGGGTGTCCCCAGGGCTCTGGTGCCTAGGGACACAGCTGGAGGGGGGAGCCCCAGCTGTGGCCCAGTCTGGCCCAATTCGTGACCCCATGGAAGGGAATTTTACTGGAGACCTGACCAGTTTTGGTCACCTGTACAAGCTTACTGGAAGTCAGACCTACTTGCCCGAGTGTTGTGGATGGGGTCGCTTGTGTGTGATGCGGGGGGTGAGGGCCACCGAACCTCTTTTCCTTGGCACTGGAGACAAAAAAACTGATGTTTTCACACCGTTTCAGAGTCAGCAGCTGTTACGGGGTTTCTTGCCTCCCTTCCCTCAACCTCTGTAGCCTCTGGGTGATAGGCAGGACCCAGCTGGCACCGCCAAGCTTTGGGGTGTCTCTGCACCCTTCTCTATCCCCTGCGGGTGATGAGGCAGGGCAGTGGGACATGCCATTTCCCCCTTGCCACTTTATCGGTGAAAGGCAGCTGCTGGCTCCATGCTGGGAGCTTATCAGGATGCGGGCTGTGGCACGCTGCCAGCGTTTTTTGCCAGTGTGTTTGTCCCTGTGTATTGCCCCGGCTACTCCAAGCCTTGCTCTCTGCTGTTCTCCGGCGTTTCCACAGGTGAGTCACTTGGATGATGCAGGGTTGTTTCCAAATCTTTCTGCGCCAGCATTTGCCTCCGCTCCCCCAAATGCCTTTAAAGCCCAAATTGGAATGAAACTGGCATTTTTGTGGCCAGGATCTGGCCAGGGGCAACCTGGGTGCAGTAGAGCCAGGACGTGTGCCGGGGTGGAGGAGGGCCTGGGTGTTGAGCCCTGACTTGGCACCAAACCCTGCGGGCACCTTCGTCCCTCCCTGGCCAACCCACCCTGGGAAGGGCTTGGGTTTTCTTTTCAAGGCTGCTGCTGCTCTGGGCCAAACCCTGCACCATCCTGGTGCAGAGGGCATCGCTTTCGGGTGGTGCTTGCACTCTGTGCCCCTCTGCAAGATGCTCCTCACCGGAGGAGCAACGCTGGGCGCCGGGGTACCCCACGCAGCGGCCAACGCGAAGCTCCGGGAAGATGATGGCCTCTCGCTTCTGCTTCGCTGTGGCTGGACTCCATGCAGCAAAGGGGCCCCATGGGACACCCCACCACCCCCAGCATGGGGCTGCAGCACCCATCCCCTCCATCCATCACCTCCTGGCTCGGAGGGCACCACGTCCTCGGGGGCAGGGTGCTGCTGCCAGGATTTCACACCATCTGCTCGGGGGATCCTGCCGAGGGATTTAACCAAGCTCAGGGGAGGGGGGGAGGCCTTGGGGTGTCCCTCCCCATCCCTGCCTTTGCACGTTCTCCAGCTGCGGACGATTGTCCACTACCAGGGGGGATAGAGGTACCTGTGGTGCTGCCAGAGGGGCAGATTCAGGGGACCCTGAACCATGTCGGAGCCCGCTGGTCACCCCCCAGGCTGAGCCTGCCGGGGCTGTGCCTGGATTAGCGGGCACTAAGCTCCTTCCCGCAGATGCTCTGTCCTTTGGCGGCAGCGGGTGAGCGGCACTGCCACCAGGGATGGGGACCTCCCTGTCCCCGTGAGCCGCCAGCACCGAGGAGCCTTGTGGACCCAGATGCCACTTCTCCCCTGCGCAGAAGAGGCTTCGGTGGCTCGGGGCCGGGGTGCGGGGGGAGCTGGCGATGGCCCTGGCGGGGGGCACCCTGCTCCCCGGCACCGGGGGGGCATGGGGGTCACGGCACTTGCTGCAATCTCCCCCTGAGGAGGACGGGGTGCTGTACGTGGACTACAAGCCCCCCGCCTTGGACAGCATCCGCCTGCCCCGATACGTCCTTTACCTGATGATGGCGGCCACCCTGGTGCTGGTGGTGGCATACGCCATTGTGGGGCATCTCATCAAGGACCTGGTGCACGACTTCGCCGGTGAGTGCTGCCCAGAGCACGGTTGAGCTTTGGGGCTCCTTATGGGGCTGGGTGGGGGGCAAGAGGGGGTGTCCCCCAGACCGAGAACCTTTGCTGTGGTGGGGATGTGCCGCTGATGGCTCCATCTCTGCTCCCGCAGACTGGGCGTTCGGGCCGAAGCCAGAGGAGGAGAAGGCGGTGATGGCCGAGGGGACCGTGCCGGAGGTGGAGTGGCTGGAGGAGGACGGGGTGCTGGTAGAGGGGAAGCCAAAGGGTGAAGGCGCCGGCACCCTGCCCGGCATGGAGATCCCACTGGGGCTGCTCACCACCGCCCCGCGCAGCTCCATCTCCTTCGCCGACTCCCACAAGAAGAGGTTTTTCTAGGGCCGGGGGACACCCCTGCCGCCACCGGGACCCTGCAGCCATGCCTGGCCATCGGGTCACAGCACGGCCACCGGCCACAGACTCGGGTGTGGGGGTGACGCTGCCCGGTCACACACGCTTATCTTGGGGCTGCTATCGCTGCCCCCCCCAATAAAGCAGCCTGCCCCAGCCCCGCTCACTCGCCCCTTAGCCAGGCGTGGGCACGGGGAGGTGGCAGGGCTGGGACACCCCAATGTTCACCTGGGGACAGCAGCATCCCTCGGTGGAGCCGTGCTGGCCCCCGGGCATGGGCACGTGGGGAGGGACACGCATGTGGGAGCACATGTGTTGATGCGTGTGTGGGTATGTAAAGGGGGGTGCAAACCCCTGACGTGGGGGCACAGCCCGGGCGTGGGCGCAGGGGGCACGGACATGGGCGTGCACGGGCGTGCACATGGAAACACGGACGCACACGCCTATGGGGAGGCCTACGTCAGCACAACTGTGCGCAGGTGCATGGGGAGGGAGGGACAGACAGACAGACGGCTGTATGCTGAAGGTGAATTTGCCCCCGCTGGCCACCTTGGTGCCCTAATGCTGCCAGGCAGTGCCCCCTCCCCAAGGGGCAGAGCTCGGTGGCACCCACAGGTGCCCCCAAAGCCAGTCTTGGGCAGGGGGCAAAGCACCCATGAGCTGTACTTGGGCTCTGAGTGGGGGCACTGGGGATGGGGGCTGTGTCATATGGACCCCTATTCCCTGCCTTAAACCCAGGCTGGGGCTGGACCCCCCCCATCCCTCCAGTGGAGACCCTGTCCCCGTGTCCCCAGGCACTTTCTTCACCCCTTGGGGAATTGCCATGGGCAGGGTGGCCCTGCCGAAGACCACGGTCCATCCCTGGGGTGCTGCCAGCTCCCCCGTGCCTCAGTTTCCCCTGTGCCCCGGCAGGCGGGGGCTGCAAGGTGGAGCGGAGCAGCTCACCCTGCCAAGGTCTCGCCGATAACACCATTAATACTGGGGTCTTCACAGTACCCGGACACTCCCTGGGCACATGATGGGGTTCCACCAGCACCAGCCATTGCAACTGGGATCCAGCTGGCCTGGGCCTGACTGAGGGCCAGGGGGTGGCCTGGCACTGCCCACTCTGCCCCATCCCCACGGCGTGGCAGGGTGGGGGCCGTGTCTGCATGGATGGGACACTGGCCTGGATCTGCCCCAGCCCTGCCAGTGGGGACGGGGGTGCGGTGCCCCATGGGCAGTGGGGAGAGACTGGGACGGGGCAGCAGGCAGGGTGGGCGCTCCTCCGCACATCTGCCCATCTGTCTGTCCCTCCACCCACCCATCCGGCTGTCTGTCCTTCCTTCCTTCCGTCCATCCAGCTGCCCACCCACCCATCCATCTGTCCGTCCGTCCCTCCCTCCTTCTACCCATCCATCCACCCCTCCTTCCCTCCCTCTGTCCACCCACGCTCCCATCCATCTGTCCCTCCCTCCACCCGTCCATCTGTCCCTCCATCCCCACCACCACCACTCACCCACCCCGGGGATTGACCCCAGCCCTGGGCAACGGGGCTGCTGCCGTGGTCCCCGAGGTGGTCCCCGAGGTGGTGGCCACTGGGTGCCGCAGGGTGCTGGTGGCTCAGCCAGGGGAGAGGAGAGGTGCCACCTCCCAAGGGTTATAGAAGCCACGTTGCCATGGCGCTTGGTGGCACTTGTCCTCTTGAGCCCAATAAAAGCTGCTCGTTGGCCCGGGGTGCAGAGAGCGGCACCTGCGCTCGGCCCCAGCAGCGGCGTGGGAGAGGAGCCCATCTCAGGGTGCAGGATCTGGCCGTGCCCCAGCCCTCTGCCAGCCTCCCCTGAAAATGCCGAGGACTTCACAGCCCCTTTCGCTCCTGGTCCTGCTCGTCCTCGCCGCCACTGCCCGGGGACAGGCCGGTAGGTGCCCCTGCAGCCCCCCTGTCCCCCTGTGCCCCTGGGGCGGGGTGGCTGTGCCTGTCCTGGGCCATCGGATCAGCTCCTGGGAGACCTTCCCAGTAGGACCAGTCTGTCCCAGTGCTCTGGCAGCAACTATTTGGGGGGCAGAGTGGAAAGACTTGGGGGTACCTGCCTGCTGTCCCCAGTGCTCCCCACTGTGCTGGGCACCCCCACGCTCTCCCGGGGATGGGTTGGCTGTGTCGGGGGTGGCTTCCTTGGCACCCAAGGGATGGTGGGAATTGGGTGCCCATGAGCGCCTGTCAATGTCCCCAGCGTCCCCAGCATCCCCCCGGTGCCAGGCTGGGCACAATCGGGTCTCTGTGCCATGGGATGGGAGGGGGTCCCATCCCCTGCAGGATGGGGTTCCCCCAAAGCCATCCCCCTCCCCATCCCTGTTCCCATCCCCGTCCCTGTCCCCGTCCCTGCCGTGGCAGGCACCGGCCCCAAGGAGCTGCAGCCCTGGCTCGTCAGCCTCACGGCCGTTGTCGTCTTCCTCTTCATCGTCTTTGTGGTCCTGCTCATCAACCGGCTCTGGCAGATCAGGATGCGCAGGTGGGCCGGCGCGGTGGGGACGCATCCTGCACCCGCCTCAGCGGGGGGGGGACCGCCGGCCCCGGGGGGGAGCAGGGTGCTGCGGGGTGGGGACGGAACCGTCCCCAGGCACCGCTCAGCCCCTCTCTCCCCTCGCAGGAAGCATGGCGGCCTCCAGGAGACCCAGGGGACTGAGAGGTACCATGGTTTGGGCGCTGTGGGGCTGACACCGGGCCCCCCACCAGCCGGGCCTCAGTTCCCCACTGGGGTCAGCCACGTGCTGGCGGTGCCACGCGTGGCCCGGCATGGCCGAAAGCGATGGGGACGCCCCAGGGGAGCGGGGCCGGGGGGGCCCTGTGGTGGGTGGCCATGCCTCGTTGACGCCTTCCTCCCAGCAGGCTGGAGCACGCTGGCTGCGCCAACCCGGCGGCCGAGAAGGACAGCGACGAGGAGAGCGACGGCGAGGAGCAGAGCAAGGCCACGTCCCTCTGAAGGGGCGGCCGTCCCCTGCCCGCTCGGTGCCCGGCCTTAGGGACGCCCCGTCGGGCGCTTCGCCCTCAGCCCCGTCCGCCGGACGTGGATCCACGCCGGGTTTTGCGGAGCGGCAGCGGGGCGGGAAGTGCCGCGGCGGTTCCCGGCTGCCGCCAAGACCCGGCGTGGATTCGCCGCCCGCCGGAGTGGATCGGAGAGGGCGGCGGCTGGGGACAGGAGCAGGCCCCCCCCCCCCCCCCCCCCCC